CCCTCGCGCATCTCCGCCACCCTCGCGGTTATCGCGCACGCTCATCGCCCAGACGTCGCCCTCGTGCTCGCCCTGTACCCCGCGCGTGTCGCCCAGCGTCCCACTATCGCCCAGCGCCCCGCGCTTATCGTCTCGCCCATCTGCGCGCTCACCGCGCTCGCCCGTCCGCAGCAGTCCCCCGCACGCGCCATCCACCCGACATCCTCCCCATGCGCGCCATTCCGCCTAGCCTCCAAGTGCCATGCGCGTCGCTCCTTCGCGTACCCTCGACACCAACCACCTACCTTGCCGGCCACCTTGCACTCGGCGTCGGCCCATTCTTCCTCCTCGTGTGCGCTCCTCGCCGTGTAGCGCTTCTTTGCACGCCCTAAGCTCATGTGCCTTGCCGCTCGGCTGGCGCGTACTGCCAGCGTTCGCCTCATCTTGCGTGTTCGAGGCCTTCTCCCACAGCCTTGTGGTCAATCTCGCCTATACGCCGGCCAATACTCTCGGTCATCGTGGGACTCATCCTCGGGATCAGTAGGGTCGATGACCACATCTTCATCATTCTCGCCCTCTTCGAGAATTTCCTTGTCCTCAAGGATAATGTAGTTGACCACGTCGACCCTCTCATCTTCCTCATCAGGTGACTCCCCCGTGTCCTCGGTTAGCAGCTTAATTTGCTTCTTAGCCCGCCCAAACTCCATTGTTCCTTTCTTGTAATCGGTGGTGATGGGTCCAAGTGTCTCCAACCACTTCACTCCCAACACCACATCGGTTGGCTTCAATGACAGGGCAGAAAGATTAATCTTCAAATCCTGGCCTTGTGCTCGTATTGGGACCTTCTTGAATAGCAAGTCGCCCCTAAGTTCCTCTCCCTTAGCAACCTTGACTCCAAACGGCTTCACGCTAGTAAATGGAATGTCTAACTTCTTAGACAACTCCTCATCTATGAAATTCAAGGTTGACCCACTATCAACTAGCACATCAACTAGTCCCCCTTGTATCTCAGCTGTGAATCAGATCATCTTAGGGCCTCTCTTCTTGCTTTTAACCACGTGCGGCAAGGTCTCCTCCCTTTCCTTGGGTTCGTACTCTTCTTGTCCTTGCCCCTCGAACTCTAATAAAAACACCTCCTTCCCCGCACATCTATGGCCTGGCGTAAACCTCTCATTGCATGTGAAACACAATCCCTTCTCGCGTCTCCTTTGGATCTCCTCGGTAGTAAGTCGCCTCATGTTGCTCGTCGTGCGTGTCCCCTCGTTGGCCGGCTTGGTATCGGCCCGTGGAGGCTGCTCGTCGTTTGTCTCGTGTGAAAGCACCAATGATGAAGATCGTATGTTTCGCTCAACTCGTTTGTCTCGAAACTAGCTTTGCCACGGCTTGCTCTCGACGATAGGTGCGATTGACTCGGTTAATTAGCCTTGTCTCTCACGATTTTCAGATGGTTTGGGTCTTAGCCTCGCCGCACTCGGTTTGTATGCTAAAACTCTCATGATTTCTAAACACACAGGTTGCTCTTACGAACGATTTCTATTAACTCATCAATCATATAAAAATAAGAAGAGTACATGGGTATTTATAGATCCTAAAGTATTCTAAACTTATTCCAACTAGAACTCTTAATCTAGCAAGCAAATAAACTCCTAAGGTAACTAGATATCCTAATATCTAAGAATTACCATAATAATAAAAATACTAATATGCACATGCCTTTTATTCTAGATCTCCTAATTATACTAGAAAGCTAATAAAATCATATCTCTTGCTTGCTCCCCATTCCAAGTCGGTCGCGCCCCAAACCCTAGCCGCCCGTGCGCCCGCGATGCCCGCTACGCCTAATCGCGCGTGCGCGCCTCCCACACGGCGCTTGCCGCGCACGCTGCCTGTCTGTGCGCCGCCCCTCGTGCGTCCCCGCCACCCGCGCGATTATCGCGCACGCTCATCGCCAAGACGTCGCCCATGCTCGCCCTGCACCCCGTGCGTGTCGCCCAGCATCCCGCTATCGCCCAGCGCCCCGCGCTCATCGTCTTGCCTATCTGTGCGCTCACTCGCGCTCGCCCGTCCGCAGCAGTCCCCCGCGCGCGCCATCCACCAACATCTTCCCCCTGCGCGCCATTCCGTCTAGCCTCCAAGCGACGCCTTCGCGCACCCTCGGCACTAATCGCCTACCTTGCCAGCCACCTTGCACTCTGCGTCGGCCCATTCTTCCTCCTAGCGTGCGCTCCTCGCCGTGTAGCGCTTCTTTGCGCGCCCTAAGCTCGCGCGCCTTCCCGCTCGGCTGGCGCGTACTGCCAGCGTTCGCCTCATCTTGCGTGTTCGAGGCCTTCTCCCACAGCCTCGTGGCATATCTCGCCTATACGTAGGCCAACACTCTCGGTCATCGTGGGACTCGTCCTCGTGATCGGTAGGGTCAATGACCACATCTTCATCAAGGTGTGACAGCGAAGGGCGAGCGGGGATGGCAGCAGACCTATGATGACGGGTGGCGGATCGGGTTGCGGCTGTGGACGGCAGTGGTGGTGAGCCAGTGACGAGAGCTCCATCATGTACGGCGGCGGATCTGAGCTCCGGCACTTACAGCGGCGCGGAGGACTGCCGGAGGTGCGGCGACGCCTAAGCAGTCGATGAGGAATGACGCCGCCGAAAATCGGACGACTGGTGGTGGCCAGTGTGCCGTAATTGTATGCGCGTGTGTGTATTTGTGTGTGTGCATTCTGTGTTATTTTGCGTGAGAGAGGGAGATATTTTGCGTGCGAGAGGGAGATAAAGATTAGAGAGAGAGAGAGAGAGAGGGGAAAAAGAGAGAGATAGTGTGGCTGGGAGTCTGGGACGTATTTATTATGGTGGAGCCCATTGGTGTAAATGTTTGGTATGTGCAAATGTCTATAATACCTTTAATGAATGTAAAAATACTTTAAATTTTTAGCCATTAGATCATCTAATCTAATGACTACTATTTATTCTCATTTCTTTCATTAAAAATCATTCTAATGTGAACCCAACCATATATAATAATAATAATAATAATAATAATAATAATAATAATAATAATAATAATAATAATAATAATAATAATAATAATAATAATAATAATATAACATCCATCTATGTCATTAGTGTTCCAACAAACTAGTACGTAACCCGTGCGATGCACGGGCTGTAAAATTTTGAAGAATAATATAATTTGACGTGCATTAGGATCGTGCTCGAAATCATTTAAATACATTGGAACATTATTGAATCATAAAAATGTTTGTGACTTCACAATCATATATTATTAAAAACCTCTTTGTACACAACATTATGAGTTTGATTATTTGCTAACTCCTCATTATCACAAACTACTATTTTCAACCCCCTTCTATTAGTTACACGTGAAACAGCAACATATAATTGGCCGTGACTAAAGACAGGTTTCTTCAGCAAAAGACCGACGTGCGATAAAGACTGTCCCTGACTCTTGTTTATGGTCATGGCATACGAAACCATAAGTGGGAACTGACGCCGCTGGAACTTAAATGGAATCCTAGTATCGGATGGAACGATATTCATCCTAGGAATCAAGACCTTCTCGCCAACGTGATCTCCTGTCAATATCTTGCATTCGAGAACATGAGTAGAGAGTTTAGTCACAACCAATCGAGTACCATTGCACAGTCCCATAGAATGGTCCATATTGCGTAACAACATTACTGGAGTTCCTATCTTCAGGTGCAACTCATGGTTGGGACAACCAGAACACTTGATGCTATTCAAGAATTCTGGCGTGTGGAGATCTGTCAAGAAATCATTTCCGGAATCCGACTTACAAGTACTGTCAGAGCTCAAATACGTACGACCTTCAGAAGAATTCAAGTCGGACATGTATTGGTTGATGGACTCAACAATCTCCAACGTGGGAGCTAATATTGCCCTATCCTTCAAATAACTGGGATCGTCAGTTGCGTTCTTGAACATTGGATAGGTACTTTCTACAATCGTAGCAATCGGATCATCTGAGGGATCCAATCTTATATCTTCTGGAATTTCAATGGCGGCACAACCATCATTTGATCCACCTATAGTACCATCTCCAATACTCGCAATCCAATCGGCAAATGCAGCCACCTCGTCACGCTCCTCCGAATCAGAAATGCTCTGAAGACGCATGTTTTTCGTAAGCCGGAGCACAGTACAGTCCGTCCAAATGCTGGATGCATTAATAGTAGCATTGACAATGTCCTGACGGCTCCCTTTTGGAATGACTGGAAGTATCTGTCTGAAGTCTCCACCAAAGACAACCGGCTTGCCTCCGAAGGGATTGCTACTATTCAAAGGGTCAATTGCGCCCATTACAGCTTGCAATGATGTTTGAACTGCTTCAAAGCAATTTTTGTGCATCATCGGCGCCTCGTCCCATATGATTAGAGAGCATCGAATTATCAGTTCCGCAAGAGGACTTGCCTGATTGATATCACACGACGAATTTTCATGAATACTAATCGGTATTCGAAATCGAGAATGTGCAGTTCTTCCACCCGGCAATAATAGCGCTGCAATTCCGCTCGATGCCACGCATAGAACAATCTTACCCTTCGACCGTAACGCCGCAGACAAAGTCCTCCACAAGTATGTTTTTCCAGTACCACCATAACCGTATACAAAAAATACTCCACCGGCACCTGAATCAACAGCAGACATAATTCTTGAATAAACTCCTTTCTGCTCATCGGTCATTCTCCCAAGAAGAGATTCGTGCTCCACAGCCATTGCATTTCGATCGTAACTAAGCTCATCCAATATAAGGCGGTTTGAAGTGTTATGCATACTATCTCTGTCTGGAAAAGGCATGGATGAATAATCACGAAGACTTGCACCACGAATTCGCAACATAGTCTCAATCTCAGCAAGAGCCAGATTCTTGATAGCATCTTCACTGAGCCGCAAATCTGGAGTGTTTTTAATAAATAAATATAAAATAATTTAAAATGAAAAAAAAAATAATAAAAAAAATAAAAAGATATATTAAAAATATTTACCATCGTTATTGAACAATCTCCGTTGTCTGTATAAAATGTCATCAGATAACAATATCCAGCAACGTTGCCATACGTCATCTGGTCTACTCATAGAACCGGAAACCAACAATGACACAAACATACGCCTAAGCGACTCTGCAGATGCCCAATGACTTGCTTCAGTTATACCGTCTATGAACTCTCTGTCATCATCCAATAATCCATGTTCGTAGCAAGCATCTCTATAATTAAGGTACTGGATGTCGCCAACTTTCATATAGTCCTCGTGGCATGTAGCACCGCGGACAACATTTAACAAACATCGCAAATAGTAATTATCTCCGCAGCCAGGGTTCACGTGGTTTAGGCGGCCTATTGTACCATCTTTCCTTTTTCGAGGCCTCCACTCTCTTTCCGTTGCATCCCAAACAAATTTAGATGGTGCCTCAACATAAGTAAGCTCCCGAGCCTCTGGATAAATCTTATTCGCCTCGAACCATGCAAGGAATTGACTCTCATTCACAGTTGGTTTGTTCAAAACATCCTCTAAATCATCATCATCTTCGAAAATAATGTTTTGCTGCCCTTTAAGATGGAAACTCAATCGTTGTACTGTTGGCCTCTTGTACTGCAGCTCAAAACCCAGCAACCTCCAAGCAGCTTCACACGAAGACACATAACGGCAATCATAGTACATATTGATCTCATCTAAAGGTTTTTCAACATCTCCATCTCCAGAACTCTGGTAGAATGAGGCGGTTACACGATCATTTCCTTTGTTAACATACTTGAATAAGTACTTTATGGATCGTGATTGATTGCACCACTCAACATTAACATGCGCTCCATATTTCATCAACAAACGACGATTGTGAGGCACAACATAACCATTATTGAGGACCACACCATTTTTCTCAATATACTTACCATCATCTCGACGCTTGTATCGTGGATACCCATCCTCATCGCACGTAGTGGAATCGACAAACTTTTTTGGAAATCGTTTGCTGCATTTTCCATTTACCATGCACGGCGAGTTTGTTCGTGCTGCACCACACGGTCCGTGCATCATGTGATCCTTCACAGCTTCATAATACATCGGATCGGACGTCTCATCTGGTATCTCAGCAGATATTATCCTATCAATGTCAGATGGGTCGAGAAACTTATTCTCCTTGGCAAGGAAAAGCAATATGTGAGCATGTGGCAGTCCACGCTTTTGGAATTCAATGGTGTAAACAACTAAAATATATACACATAATAGAAATCAATAAATAATTATAATTAATACATGATTAGTATTAAAAATTAAATAAATTAATAAAATATTAAATTACTGCAAAACAAAAAAAAAAGTAAAGAAAGGGTTTCACCTGCAATAACCTTTCCAAATATTTGTTTCTCACGAAAATCCTTTATCATCTGCTTAAGCTTTGCCTTAAATACTCTGCAAATGATATCTGGTCGGTCCTCAGGACGCAATTTCCTCGGCTCAAGAAAACGAATAATCTCCGGCCAGTTTGGATTGCACGTAAAAGTGATAAACAAATCAGGATATCCAGCCCATCTACAAATTGCCATTGCATCCTGGTAATTTTGTATCATATTTCTCGGACCTCCAGTGAATGTAGAAGGGAGAATAATACGTTTTCCTCTGGAGCTGGGATCAGTATCGCCACGCAACACAGCATCCTCCAGTCCCTTATACATATCACAACGAAGCTTTTTCTGATTAAAGCGAATATATCGCAGTCTCGATGCTTCCACCATTGTATAAGCGTCAACTACAAACTGTTGAAATAGCCTTCGAGCAGAAAGAATTGTCTGTGGCTCACAATCTCTATCGTGCATACGGTATGCAAAATACTCCCTGCAACTCACGTGTTTTCTACCATTTTCAGTCTCTGCTTTAATAGAAGAAAATTGAATGTCTTCCCTATAGCCATCCTCTCCGTAAGGCAATAACAGTGGATATTGTAACGCCAGATACGAAGCATTTAGTTCGTTTATCCGTTGCAGACGGCCACTCTTCGATTCAACTAAAATGTCCCTTTCACCTAGAGACTGATCAAAATCACCAACAATCAAAGCAGCAACTTCAGAGCTTGAGGGTAGATTATATCGTCTGGCATCATTGTATCTCTTTCCTATTAAACGGATTCTAACATCATGCTGACCACGATTCTGAATTCTGTCTCGAGCCATACGAAACGACTTAACCAGCTCATTATGGCCGTCTAACATTTCCTTCAATCCAACGATAATATCTTCGTGCAAGTTGTTGTCAACATCTCTTTGCCTGAAAAATAAAGATTAAACTATATGTTTATAAATAAAATTATTTAAAAAAATAACAATAATATGTAATAAACTTTGATAAAGTGTAAAGTACAAACCTCACAACATTCATTCTATTAGAAATCTCATTATCTGTATCATATATGTACAGCTGTGCAAACTTTGGAGTTGAACCGTCAGAAGGAAGCAAACTACCCATGAGATGATAATTTTGTCCATGCAGGGTAAAAACAGGTGGTCCAGCTCCACTGTTCATAGATCCATCAACTTTTCCACCGAAAGATGTAAACGCAAACATGCTATTGTAAGATCTGATGTTATCTTGAAAATGCTTGCTTCTACGACTATCTCCAAAGAGCATTTCATTCAAAAATATGGGCGGATCTTTCAGCATCGGTAATTGTACAATGCCATTTTGGCAACAACCACTGTAATCTGGAACATTTTTAGTTTTCTCAGTCTTTTTCTTCTCTGCTACCCAAAACACTGATCCACAATACTGGCAATTCAAGATTGGATCACTCATATCCCAATATTCTGCAAAATTGTATAAAAAATTTAAAAAATCTTTATCGATGAAATAATTTCCATATTTTTATGTAAAATTATATGTAGTAAATAAAAATCAACCCTTATTTCTTAAAGTTGATCCTTGATTTTTCTTAGGTCGACCACGCTTTCGTTTCCATGAAGGGGGTTCAACAGTCGCATCCTGCGTGAGATCAACAACAACACTGGTGCTAGTACATTGAAGATTAGACGTATTCTTCCGTGTTCTCGTAGTACGTGCTTGTTCATTGACACCTATATATGATTAATTGCTATTAAATTGAAGATAACATACATAATGTTGAAATAAGTAAATACTTAAATAAATAAATAAATAAACAAGAATTCATAACAAATGATTTATGAACATGAAAATTAGAAGGACGAAAAAAAACCATTAATAGACTTACCACATCTTGAACGTTCAAAAGCTGATTGAGGAATAATACTCAACTCAGGTTCATCATCACTTGTGAGATCAACTAAGATAGCATCTCCTCCACGACACGTGTTTGCAAAAAAGTTGGTGTTTGGTTGAGCAGTGAAATTTGGTTTCGGAGCATATGATGATTGTATAGTATCTGCAATTTGAAATGAAAACAACAATACAATTGTATTAATTGAATCAAAATATTTATTTCTATATAGTACTTTTATTTAAAAAAAAAAAAAAAAAA